CCCACAAATATATACAATTATTTTTCAATTAAAATAAAAAATAATAAAGTGACAAAAAGTGCAAAAACTTTCACAGGTATTCAATAAATACTTTTTGTATACCTATGAGCTAAATGAATACACCAGTCCCCAGGTGTCTATACTAGGGGGCTCCATTCCCTCTCTCGCGAATCACCTGCTCTTGTCAAGGTCACCAACGACCTCTACCTTGCTAAACCTAACGGTCAAGTCTCCATCCTCTTCTTTGTTGCTGTCTAGCCTCTGACTCAGTCCATCGTTCCCCGGGCAACACTTGCTTCCCCTGGCTTCCAGCCGCCACTCTCCCCTGGTTTTCCTCCTACCTCTTTGGACCTGTCACTCTGGGTTTCCCATCGTCCCAGGCTCCAGACTGCACCCACCTCGCCCCCAGGTCCAACAGACAGCTTCCACTCCACACCGGCAGCCTGCGATCCAGAAGTCCCCAAACCGCCTCCTCCCAAAGGCACCATCCTCCCAGCTGCTCCTCGGCCAAAGGCCTGGGCCCTGGCCCTGCCCTTTCTCACACACCCCACAGCCAGGCCAGGCAGCAAATCCTGACGGCTCCACCTTAAAACTATGTCCTGAACCCGACCCCTCCTGCCACGCCCTCTGTCACCACCCCAGCCACCGTCCGGTCACCCTGGCAGCTGCAGTGACCGGAGTGACCTTTCTCAATAGGGAGGCTCTGTCTCGAGCCGTCCCGGGGCTCGCCGTCCCAGCGGCTTCCCAGGCCCACGTGCTCAGGTCGGGCTACTCACAACCTCGCTTCCTGCCCCTCCCTCATCCCTGCGGCTGCAGCGACCCCCGGCAGCGCCCGGAAGACCTTGGGCCGCCGCACGTGCTGCTGGCCCGGCCCCAGGAACCCCGGGACCCTCCCTGAGTGCCTTCAAGACTTCCTCCTGGGGGCACCTGCGCCCCGACCGCGCTCCGGACCGGAGCTGACCTGCGGCTCACCTGGGCGAGCTCCGGGGTCCACCGCCCCTCGCCGTCTCCCGCGCTCCGCCCCTCGGTGGCCTCCCTCCCCAGTCTTTGGTGCCTCCCTGCCCTACTCCCGCCCCGCGGTCCCCTTCGTCCCTCCGGCCTCGTCTCCCACCGGTCCCCGGTGCCCCCACCTTTGCAGGCCGGCGACAGGGGGCAGGCTGGGCTGCGCATGCGCACAGCAGGCTGGCGCCGCCCCCGCCCCGCCCCAGGGAGCTCGTGCGGATCCAGGAGGCCCAAGCTAGGCCAGGAGGCCGCCGAGACCCTAGGGGCCGGCGGAGACACGCCTGCAGGAGGTCAGTGCAGGGCGGCGCGGAGGCTGGACAAGGAGCCCGCGGGACGAGGCGACAGGGGAGGAGCAGCTCGGCGTCCTGCCCGGCTGCAGCGGCGCCTGCCGGAGACCAGGACCCCTGGCAGTTCCCCAGTCTTCTGTGTAATTGAACGATTGTTTGTTTGTTTATCTTTCTTTCGGCAATGGAGGTGAAGGGTGGAGGAGGGCTCGGTGACTTGATTGGCTTTTGTCAGCTTCCAAGAGTCATTCCATTGTCCAAATATGTAGTGAGTTACTACCTACTTCGCTTCCTCCTTGAGCAAACAGCTGGATCACACAAATTCAGGACAGAGGACTTCAAATGTTGGGGTCATTTTCCTCTGAAACCGTATTTCAAATGATGGTGAGTTGGTTCCCAGTCTAGCCCATCAAACCTCTAACCCGATGACGAATGCCCCCTGCCCTCCTGTGCGCTTGCCCTGCACATCTGCTGGCGCTCAGATCCTTCCAGGGGCTCGGGGCTCACTTGGCTCCACATGTCCGCGTTCCCTTAAAATCTGGCCTCTTTCCTTTGATTTGGGCTTACCACGAGCACTGCTTTTGCTAGAATGGAAATTGCTTGTGGGCATGCCAGTGGACCAGAAAGGGAAGTGATCTGACAACTTTTGGGCAAAAACATGTTACGTTAACATTTTTTTCTTGACTCTAATCTTAACCACTTCCCACAATTTGGCTGGAAATTCAGCCCACGTTGAGGCCCCTCTCACTCCTGTAGGTTGTAACAGCACTTCAGGGACTTACGGAATACAAGAAAATTGGGGAGAGTCTCACAACGGGCTGCTGTTTTTTCCTTAACATATAATATGGTATGTACTTTGTATCAGACACTTTAAAGACTTCATGTGTATTAATCAATTTATATCATCCCCACCACCTGATGAAATAGGTACTGTTATCCCCACTTTACAGATGGGGAAACTGAGGCCCAAGGTGGTCAAGTAACTGCTCAAAACACAAAGCTGTTGACTGGGATTTAAACCTAAGTGCTTTGGCTCCAGAGACAGGGGTCTGAATCCCCACATACAGCACCTGTCCTTAAAGTGTTATGTTCCATTGCTTTTGTGTTTTCATACTGACCATCATGTATTAATCCTTTACCTTCAGTCAGATACTTGGGGAGGGGGACACTGGGCCCCTTATTGCAACTTTCTGTGGTTCACAGGCCCTGTATGTAGCCCTCCACCACCCACAGGTTCTGCCACTTCTGGGCATTGTATTCCATCAAGATCGGGGGCCCACCACCCATAGCCATCCACACACTACCCCTGGACCCCATCCCTTCTCCCAGGCTTGGAAGAGCCAACTCTCCCTGACCATTGTCAGGCCTCTTCCTCTTATTGAAGCACAACTGCCATCCTTTCCATCTTTCAAGCAACTGCAGCTTAATTTCTTGATGGCCTTGCCCCTCTGAGACAAAGGCTGTTCCCTTTCCCCAGACTGTTTTTTTTCCTACTCCTTCCATAGTAAATTCCCTTGTCTTATCAGTCTCAACTCAACTGTTACTTCCTCAGGGAAGCTTTCTCTGATCCTCCTCCCAACTAGGTGAGATGCCCTGTCCCTAGTACAGGCTCCTGTAGCACCATGGCAGTTATCCCAGTTGAGGTTCCAAATATATGTCTGCGTATTTGATTAAAGATTCTCTCCTCCACCACGCTGTGAAGGTGACTTCTTGAGATTTGTTTTGTTTTGTTTGCTCCCTGTGATATTCCCAGCTCTCAGGGTCCCTGATAGTAGATGCTTGATTAGTAAATACACATTAAATAAATGAATGAACAACCTCACAGAAAAAGCAGCCTAAAACTCGGAGGATAATAGCTTGGCTATCTTTACTAAAATTTAAAAGGCAAATGACCTTTTCTTTCTTCTTCCCGTGAGTCTGGCCTAGCTGTACAAAACAAATAAAAAATAAGTAAACAAGCAAGGAAGACTCACCCTATTCACAGAGATTTTCCTGGGACAACCGGGGAGGTGAAAGAAGAATCTACGCGCACATACATTGGAAGGTGGTATTGCCTACTTGCTTTAGTGAAATTCGGACATGCCAAACTTTACCTCTGGAAAGAGAATCAGTCTCCCCTCCACCCAGAGTTTTACATCCTCTTGGGATTTCTCACTTTACTGATTATCCTACTGCCCCTCAGGGAGGGACTGTCCTCTGTAAGCCTCTGCTGCAAATATAAACATGGACATAAACACCTAGGGATGGGCAGCACCAAGAATGACCCATGAGTTGTAACTGTAACCTCCGTGAGCCGTCGGTGCAGCTACATGCAGTATGTAGCCACAGCTTCTTCCGCCCCTGCTATGCACGGCAACAACGCACACAGCACATGCTTAAGAAATAAAATTGACGTGAATAACCAACTGTGAACAGTGGCAGACAGGAAAATGGGGGTTGTGGGTGTTTGGTGCCCTGTGGTGAGGAAAGCAAGGTTGTGAGGACGAGCCTGCATCAGAGGGCAGTCTGGGGCCACAAGAACAACACACTGTCTTTCGATGGTTGGGTGGGGGACGTGGGGGAGCCAGAGCCCATATTCTTAATGTCCAAGAGTTCTGTTCTTTTCTATGTTTATACCATCCAATTTGTTGTTTGGTTTGGTGGATGCAACACATTTTATTTTTTAAAAGATATTAAATGAAAGAATGACAATGTGTCCCCACTGCCCCATTGGAGGAGAATTTCCCAAGTGGTTCTTTTTGTTTCCACCTACATCAGCAGATGTGGTTCTCCCTTCATGCTTCCCATGGTTTGAATGTGATCCCTCCAAAATTCATGTTGAAACTTAATCCCTGTTGTGGTGGTATTAAGAGGTAGGGCCTTTGGGGAAGTGATGAAGCCATGAGCACTGTGCCCTTGTAAATGGATTAATGCCCTTGTACAAGAGGCTTCAGAGAGAGTTCACCTCTCTAGCGCTTTTCCCTCTGCCCTGTGAGGACACAGCAAGGCCCCATCTTCGAAGCAGAGAGTAGCCCTCACTAGACACTGATGCCAGTGCCTTGATCTGGGGCTCCTCAATCCCCAGAACTGTAAGAAATAAATTTCTGTTCTTTGTAAGTTACTCAGTCTGTATTTTGTTACAGCAGCACAAATGGACTAAGACAATGCCCCCATCGATCTCTAATGAGGTATTCAGGTTCTCCACACTTACTAGTGTTTGCCATTGGATGGGAAGTTGTCCGTGGTCATTGGGTGGCAGCAGGAGGGAGCTGAGTGAGGAAGGTCCATGTTTAGCACGTCTCACTTGAGACCTTTCTGCCCTGGTGCTCAGTCTCCATGATGTTTCAAGGATAAGAATCAAAGTCCCAACAGGTTCCAAATGCTGATTCTTTCTCTCAAGGGAAACCTGTGTAGTTTTAGGGGATTCTTTTAATCATAGCTCCTTGACATAGTCTACTCAGTTTCTGCATCTTGGTGGGTTTGAGTCTTTCCCAGCCAAGGGCATCTCTCCTGGCAGAAAGCCAGTGGGACAGAATCCTTTCCAAGGAAACTAACCACCAACTCCCCTTCCCATGGACCACATGAAGCTCGTAGAAACCATGCCCGAATCCTTTCCCTGCCAAACTCTACAAACGGAGGTGTTCCAAGCACAACCCAAACTCTCTTTGATCTGCTCCCTCGGGCCATTGAGCCGTGTCTTCTCACCTGTGGCTTTTTCAGATACATACTGGATCCCACTCCCTGAGGCCCTCCAGCTCCAGGAATGCAGGTCAAGCTCTCTGGGGGGCTTTCTGACGCCCTCCTCGCTTGTCCTGAGGTGAGGGGAAAAGCTCCACTGTCCTCACTCACGAGCGACAGGAAACACACCTGCATTTTAACAACAGAGAATTTTTCCTTTATATGTCTCAGGTGGGTGAGGGGATCATAATGGCACAACAGCAGCAACAGCCACTGAGCTCTTCCTAAGTGCCAGGTACTGTTCTCAGCAGTTTCCATGGATTATTTTATTCTTTAATCCTCATGATGATCCTGTGGGGTGGAGGCTTTGGTGGTCTTCATTTTACAGATGAGGAAACGGAAGCATGGACAGCTGAACAAATCTGCCGTGGTCGCAAAGCTGGTAAGGGCAGAGTCAGGATTTGGACCCAGGCCTCCTGAGGCTGGACTGCTAACCACTGCGGGTGGGCCAGCACCTCTTCCTGTCTTTAAAAGGTGGGGATGTTGTCCCCTCTTTTGTTCTAAGCCTTCTGAACCTAAGCCGACATTGAGACAATCAGAAACATTGCATTTAGTATCTTGATACGTGAATATACATATATACACACATAGTGTATGAGTGGTTTTTTTTTCCTTTTGCTCCCTGAATTGCCCCTATTTTTCCCTACTTTCTTTTCTCTGTTTTGGTCTTTCTTATTGGAATATCTGACAGTCCTTGACTATTCATAACCAAGACTCCAAACAATGGATAGGATGATCTGTGTATTGGGATGGAGGGAGGTATCAACTGTTTGGCTCCACTGTTGGGCAAGGAGAGAGATAGTTCATTGGAGGACACGAAAATGTCAGTCTTTGAGGCTTTCAGGTCTTTTAAAGAAGAATCATATAATATCCTGTTGGTGGAGGGTATTTGCCTGTTTTCGTGACTGAGTTGTGGAAGAGGGCTTGGGGTTGGGTAGGAGGTCTTTAATACTTAGAATGTAGACTTTCTCTGAGTCCTCTTTTTTAGTACAGCATCTCTCCCTCACTCTGCTCTGCTTGGTGTCCCCAAGTTGTCCCCAAGTCTAGTGCAATTTTTCCAAAGCAGAAACCTTTTGCTTTGTGTAAGCATCTGGGGAGAGAAGCCAGAGGAGGGGAAGGGAGGGAGGAGCAGGGAGCAGAACTTTGGAAAAAGCTGTCCAGCTCCAAATACCACATCCTATTGATATT